GCGTGTTACGTTGAGCGCACAGCAGCGATTAGGTCATCGCCTCAGCTGTTTGTGTGTCACGGTGCGGCTGCATTAGGTAGACCACTTTCAAAACAGCGATTGTCTCATTGGCTTTGTGAAGGTATTGAGACAGCTTACGAGGCAGCGGGGCAACAACTGCCTCAGGGTATCAGAGCTCACTCCACTCGTGGAGTAGCAGCTTCTACTGCCCTCTTCAGAGGAACAGGGGTAGAGGATATTTGTAGGGCAGCGTCATGGTCGACACCGTCTCCATTTATCCGTTTCTATCTATTAGATATGTCTTCTAACTCTTTGGCTCGATCTGTACTCAGCGTGGCTGAAGGGAGATCTTGAGCAAGAAAGAGAGGGAAAAAGCAGGACTGTGGACATGGGTGTCCATCAGGTCCGCTTTGGTTAGGAAGACATATTCTGTTTCTATCTATTAGATATGCCTTCTAACTCTTTGGCTCGATCTGTACTCAGCGTGGCTGAAAGGAGATCTTGAGCAAGAAAGAGGGGAAAAAAGCAGGACTGTGGACATGGGTGTTCATCAGGTCCGCTTTGGTTAGGAAGACATATTCTGGACAGATATGTTTTCTAACTCTTTGGCTCGGTCTGTACTCAGCAAAGCTGAAAGGAGATTTTGAGCCAGGAAGAGAGGATAAAGCAGGACTATGGGCAGGTTCCCATCAGGTCCGCTTTGGTTAGGAAAACATGTTTTTTGATAGATAGGTTTTCTATCTCTCTGGCTCGATTGTACTCAGCATAGCTGAAGGGGAATCTTGAGCTAGAAGAGAGAAAAGCAGGACGATGGACACAGGTTTCTATCAGGTCCGCTTTGGATGGAAAGCATATCTTGTGGCATGTCTCTTGACTGACAGGGTCAGTATAGTAGAGACATGTATTGAATTGACAGAATGTGAGGTCATCTATCTGATTGTTCAGTTTAGTATGACTTATATTTTGTTCCTGCCTACTAATCTCTGGGATTCCATTGAGTGAGTGAGGTGGTCTACTGTGCACATAATGTAGAGTGACACTTGGTGTCATTCCATTAGTGGTCGGTAGTGTTTTCACAGGATATTGAGGCACATCTATCTGCTAGTACAGATTAGTGTAGCTTCTATTCTGGTGATCTGCCCACTAGTCATTGGCATTGCCATTGGACTAGGTGGGGCGGGTCTTTAACCGATGACGCGGTATATTGTGACGCCCGTAGGGGTTTTTAGTTGCAGTACTGCGGGAATTGGTTGCGGCCATTGCTAGGCTTGACCTTTTCATTTTTTAATGGGAAGTGTTAGGCTCGGCAGGGAGTACATTTTGGAGCGCTACGCTCCGCCTTAAACCACTAGGAGCAGAGCTCCCCTATGGGGCGGAGCTCCACGATATAGAACGATTAGTTACCGGAGTGTAACTCCAGTTCTATGAGTGGAGCGGAGCCCCATAGGACTTAAGGCCCTGCCGACCCTCTCTAGTCTCGCTGAAGATAATATCTCGGGAGGCTGATTGAGGGGAGGCGTCCCCTCTTATAGGGACACCTGTGCTCCCATTGGCTGCAGGTGTGTGCATAAATTTGCTTCAGGCTGTTGCTGCCTTAGGGCAGAGGGTAAACCACTAGGAGCAGAGCTCCCCTATGGGGCTCCGCTCCACTCATAGAACTGGAGTTACCATCCGGTAACTAATCGTTTTGGATCAATGCCGAAAATAAGGTATTTGGTCAACACAGGCTTAGGAGATCTTATACGTTTTGTTCTATGAGATAATTTTCATCAGCTAACGTTACTTTTTGTGAATTTTAAAGAATGTATGTAATAATAAAAAACAAATCACAAAGGCTTCATAGTTCATAAAGGTCGTGTTAACTGACTGCCATTATCTCATAGAACAAAACGTATAAGATCTCCTAAGCCTGTGTTAACCTCAGACGTTATTTTCTGCGTTTATTCCAAAACCATATTCTTTCCCTATTAATTTTTCCCATAGGGATGGCTGAATGAACCAGAGGTAACTTCTTTCCGGGTTTTAGGACTTAAAGCTGGCGAGCTCTATTGAGTTATGTTTTCATCCTGTCCTTTGCTCACTGACAATGAATGGCTGCCTGTAGCGAGCAAGAGGGTGTTTGAAGATGGCGACGAAAGAGGAATATTGGGACATGGATTTCTGAGGAGGAATGGAGGTGGAAGAAGAGAATGAGGAAAGCAGATGGTGGAGTTGAATTTGAGGAAGATGGCGATAAAAATGGAGATGGGGTGTCGAACAAGATTGGTGTCAAATGCAGAGTGAGCTGTGCGCCAAACTGAGTTCTGGAGGTGAAATGGAAGTGAATGAGGGCGAGTTAAGTGAGGTGGAAGGTGTGGTGAAGAGCTCGGAGCCCGAGCCTGGCATCGATGGACATGATGAAGAAGAATCTGGTCCAGTAGGAAAGGAGTGACATTTCTGGAGGAAGTGGATCCTTGTCTTTTGGCGGATTAATTTGGGTGGGTGGGAAAGGAGTTGGGTGCAGTTGAATCAGTGAAGGTAACCTGTAGTGGACTTATGATATTTGTTTGTGTTTCTTCTTGGGTCAACCCGGTGGTGAGCGTGGTGAAACAGAGGAGTCATTATCAGTCCTTTTGAGTCAGAGTTTTTACCCGACAAATTAATGTTTGGAAATATGTATCAGTTATCCTGTTAGAGGTTTTGTACCGAATCCACGGCGCTGTTTCAGGTGCAACATTTATGGTCATGTTGCAGCAGTGTGTATGAGGGAGATGCCAAGATGTGGGAAGTGTGCAGGAGGGCATGGGACAGAGGATTGTGTAGTATCGGTGGATACAATTGTGTGTCAACTGTAGGGGTGCCCATGTTGCTGGGGATTGGAAATGTCCAGTGCGAGAGAGGCATGTTGAGATGGCCAGAGTCAGAGTAATGCAGAAGCTGTCGTATGCTGAGGCAGTGAAGAAAATAGAGGAGGATGGGTCAAGGGTGAGGGATCCTGAGAGGAGCCCTGTGAGTAGTGGATCTGTGCCAGCACAGAGGGATAGGCCAATGAGTGATATATGCTTCAGTATGGTTGGCTTCTTAACATTCATAGCAATGGTTATCATCTGTACTGCAGAAATGGAACGTAAATCACAGAAAATAGATGTTGTGGTGGCAGCTGCAGAGATGTATTTGGGTGCACGAGATTTGACTTCAGAAGAGTTACAGGGTGTGTTGAGTGGTGGCGTCCCATCCTCCAAGGCCGGTGGCATGGTGCAGGAGCAGATAGGGTCAAAGTAGTGGAATGGGGTGGTGGTTTTTATTTTCTATTAATTTTTATGAAATAGTGGTATATAGGTGTTGGGTTAGTTGGTGGTGCAATTTGTTTTTGCCCCCCCCCCCCTTTTTTTTTTATCACAAAATGTAATGTGATTGAACACACACTATTGCACAGTAGGTGGCAGCATGCACAAAGAAAATGTGAACGCCATGACACCAAAGAAGAAGAAGAGGTACGTTTTCCGATCCATATCATGCTGGCTTCATAGTGTGTTAATGTAACCATCATAGAGCCCCACAGTGGAGGTGTCATAATACCCATAAAACCTAGTGGTCAAACAGGAAAATGGTTCCAATCGTTTTTCCACCATTAATTTTTCCCATAGGACATTTTAAAAACACTTAAAATAATGGCTGTGTTTTGTGTAGGCTTACCCTGGTGTGACGTTTTGATAACCATGTAAATCTCTCTCGTACAAGTTGACTTTTATCAATATATTTGGCTCTATTTACTCTCGGATTCGAAAACGCTAATTAGCATCAAAGTAGACATCATGCAAGACTACAAATCCCTGCGAGCTCCTGTATGTCATCTCTAGCTGACAACTTTGCTAACAGGTATTGTGTCAATTTAAAACTTGCACAAGACAGTTCACAGAATTGTCCATTTAAACACATTTAGTAAATGTATTAATGACTACATTTAACTAACATTAGATAGTTAATACAGAGAAAATTACCTTTGCCTCGATTCGGCAGTCTTGTCCAGATCATCATGGAATTTGTAGTTCTTCATGATAGCCACATTAGTAGCTAATTAGCATTTCATTTTTGGGGGGTAAATACAGGCAAATATATTGATAAATGTCACCTTGTCCTAGAGAGATTTAAACTGTTATCAAAACGTCACTCCAGGTTAAGCTTACACGAAACACAGCCCTTATTTCAAGTGTTTCTAAAATCCCCTATGGGGAAAAATGAATGGTGGAAAAACGACTGGAACCATTTCCTTGTTTAATGCTAGGTTGTATGGGTATTATGACTCATACTGTGGTACTCTATTGCATTCCGATCCCAGTGCAGCTTAGTGTAAACAAGCGTAATGGTAGGTTCGGTATCTTCTGGCAACTAGTTCACCATTCCCAATTCCCCAGAGTGCCTGGTTAGGGTAAATGAGTATTAAGTGGCAAGGGTCAGGACTATTCAGCAGGTCTCCTACACGAAGGCACGTTAAATAGTTGAAGGAGCAAGGGGAGCTGAAGATATGGCGGTGGATGCTCCGCAGACTGGAGATTCAGAGTGTTGTTCAACAGTTGAGGGAAACTGCTATGCTGATTGTGAAGAAGGTGGATTTCAGGGTGTTTATCGCGCATGTGATTAATTGTACTGCACAAACGAACAAAAAGTCAAAGAAACTGGACATAATAGTATCTGGGGCTGAAAAGTTTTTGGGTTTCCAGTTCTTCACTGCTGAAACATTGCAAAGAATACTGTCCGAAGATGCTCTTCCTTCTCAGGCCCCAGATCCTGTAGGGATGGACGTTGGCAGTTGAATCTGAATAAAGGAGTACATTGAGTTTTGTTTTGTTTATTGTGTTTTGTTTTGTTTTGTTAATTCTTTGGGGTGATGTACAGCCAAAACAGTAGGTGGCGGCATGGACCTATAGCATTTGTTTGCGGACCGCAATAATGTCAAAGAAGACCCCGTACAGTAGGTGGCGGCAATACACCAATAGGTGTAGTCTGCTATAAACTTTGAAGAAGAAGAAGAAGAAGAAGTTCCCCCATGACAAAGCCTCTTGGAATTTTGTATTTAGCTTGCTTGCTTGCTAACGACTGAGTCTACTTGCCATACGACATGGCAATGGCATAGACTATATACATGTTAGGGATGTTTCTGTAGCTTGTAGTTCTAGGTTGTAGCTAGAATTTACGTTGCTGACAACACCAAGTGAATGGTTCAAACACTGGCTAGCTAGTTAGCTAACTCTTAACGAAATGTTCATATTTTAAGAGCTATTCGACCATTTACCTATACTGTTAATCCGACTCGCCTCTGATTATTCAATTTGAACACATTTAGCTGAGTTTATCAAGCAGGTAAGTGTTTTGGTTTTAGCTCGCTCGCTAGCTAGCTTTCAAGTCATCATTAGCTAACGTTAGATGGCTCGCTAGCTAGCTAATAATGCTACTGTCAAGCTAGCGAACGAAAAGTTAAATTTGATTTTGTGTAATATTTCAGGTCTGCTTATTGTGTGTAACATTTTGTTGATGGTTTAGCTAATGGCAGCATTAACTAGTTGGCTAGCTACACACCCATGCCCATCAAGTTCACTTCTTAGAATTGTTGACATCTGCCACAAATGTCATGACGTCTTGAAATGTATCCAGCCAACTGCTCTCTTCAGACAAATTCTGCTGTGGCAATTTGAGTGCATTGTCTCAAAATCATTCTGTGGTGTTGGTGGCTGCTAAGTCATGCTGCATCGAAGTCATATGGTGTCATGGACAAAGTAGAATGAATAAAATGACTGTTTTTATCGTGACAAACTTAACCATACTATCTACTTGTTGGTGTTTTAAAATACATTTGTTTTTGTCTCTTCTGTTACACATCAATTCAGCATCCTGGTCAACCCCTCTACTGCTCCTCCTCTCCTTTTTTGTCCTGGTCCTGTGCACTATGACCATGCGTGTGGATGCCAAAGTAGTTATGCTTGGTAAGGAGAGTGTGGGCAAGACCAGCCTTGTGGAGAGATATGTCCACCACCGCTTTCTTGTTGGTCCCTACCAGAACGTGAGTATCAGTTGATTGCCTAGGGCGGTGTGTTGGACGCTCTCTGCTTTTGTGTGAAGGCTCTTTTTCAACATTTTACTTGCTACATATTTTTCTTGCAATCTTTCATTCTTCGATAGACTATTGGGGCTGCATTCGTTGCCAAATCAATCCAGGTGGGAGACAAGGTGGTTACACTGGGAATATGGGTGAGTGAGGATGACTGCTGGCATCCTTTATAAAATAAAATGGGAAATAGATTTGCATGAGTCTTTATACTCTGTATGGTGTTGTCTGGTTTATTATTGTCGTTGGATAATAATTAAATGAATCAATCTATCGTAGCCTGATCTGAGGTAGCTACAGGCTGTGTGGATAGACTATAAGTGATTCCTTCTCTGCAACCCAGGACACGGCTGGATCAGAGCGCTACGAGGCAATGAGTAGAATCTACTACAGAGGAGCCAGGGCTGCCATTGTCTGCTATGGTAAGTTCTTATCCCCTTGGAATGACACTATCAATAGCACTCTACGTTTCTGTTTTGCTACTATGGTGTTTAGTGATGGGGGGAAAAAATTCATAGTTACATATTGAAATTTTATTTTTATATATTTGACTCCCAAGTATCGATACTGTAGATAGCGTTAGCTAGCGGTAGTCGGCTGTACCTGCGCCAAAACTTGTCCTTTCATCCGATAGCTTGTTCTACATCTTATTTTTAAATAGTGAGAACCTTTTTTCATCACTTTTATTTCCCAGACTGATCAGAACTCATTTTCTCAATCGTTCTCGTCTCGCTGCAGCTGACATACACTGAGTATACCAAACATTAGGGGACACCTTCCTAATATTGAGTTGCACCCCCCGTTTTGCCCTCAGAACAGCCTAAATTTGTCAGGGCGTGGACAAGGTGTCAAGCATTCCACAGGGATGCTGACCCATGTTGACTCCAATGCTTCCCACAGTTGTCATATTGGCTGGATGTCCTTTGGGTGGTGGACAATTCTTGATACACACAGGAAACTGTTGAGCGTGTGAAACCCAGCAGCGTTGCAGTTCTTGACACAATCCGGTGCGCCTGGCACCTACTACCGTACCCTGTTCAAAGGCACTTAAATCTTGTCTTGCCCATTCACCCTCTAAATGACACACATACACAATCCATGTCTCAATTGTCTCCAGGCTTAAAAATCATTCTTTAACCTGTCTCCTCCCCTTCATATACAGTGATTTTGAAGTGGATTTAACAAGTTACATCAATAAGGCACCTAAGTATCGTTATAATATCGTATCGTGAGGTCCCTGGCAATTCCCAGCCATAATGGCTTCGTTATATCCTAAATGTTTCATTAAGGAAATTCTTGTTGAGAGCAATGGATGTTTCTGCATATATGAGTGTCCTCCACTCTTATTTCCCTCATTGTTATTATTTTTACAGTTTGGAAAATAGCCGATGAGGCATTTCCCCAGTTGATGACTCATTTGTTAAGTTTCTTTTTTAGTTTTATATGGTTCTGTTTTTAGTGTTGATTTTATGGGCTGATTTACATTGCAATATTACTATAAGTACAACAGAATATTCTAGGTCAAATACACTTTCATAACTGTGAGAACATACATAATGTTTTGGTCTTGAGTCAAGTTTTATGTTGTCATTCACCTTCATTTGTGTGACTTTTTCTCCTGTAGATTTGACGGACACAAGCAGTTTCCAACGAGCCAGATTCTGGGTGAAGGAGCTGCAAAACTGTGACGAGGTTACAGACCCTTTCTCACTTACCAATGAGAATTGTATGATGGGTATTGTCATATACAGTGCATTCGGAAAGTATTCAGACCCCTTGACCTTTTCCCCATTTTGTTACGTTACAGCCTTATTCCAAACTGAATTAAATTCATTTTTTCCACATTAATCTATACCCAATACCCCATAATGACAAAGCAAAAACAGGTTTTTATAATATAATGTATTACAAATAAAAAACAGATACCTTATTTACATAAGTATTCAGACCCTTTGCTAAGATACTCGAAATTGAGCTCAGGTGCATCCTGTTTCCATTGAACATCCTTGAAATGTTTCTACAGCTTGATTGGAATCCACCTGTGGTAAATTCAATTGATTGGACATGATTTGGAAAGGCACACACCTGTCTATATAAGGTCCCACAGTTGACAGTGCATGTCAGAGCAAAAACCAAGCCATGAGGTCAAATGAATTGTCCGTAGAGCTCCGAGACAAGATTGTGTCGAGGCACAGATCTGGGGAAGGGTACCAAAAAATGTCTGCAGCGTTGAAGATCCCCAAGAACACAGTGGCCCCCATCATTCTTAAATGGAAGAAGTTTGGAACCACCAAGACTCTTCCTAAAGCTGGCCAAGAACCTGATGGTCACTCTGACACTCTGCATTTTACGTTTTAGTCATTTAGCAGACGCTCTTATCCAGAGCGATTTACAGTTTAGTGAGTGCATACATTATTTTTTTATATTTATTTTTCATACTGGCCCCCCGTGGGAATCGAACCCACAACCCTGGCATGGCAAACGCCATGCTCTACCAACTGAGCTACATCCCTGCCGGCCATTCCCTCCCCTACACTGGACGACGCTGGGCCAATTGTGCGCCGCCCCATGGGTCTCCCGGTCGTGGCCGGCTACAACAGAGCCTGGATTCGAACCAGGATCTCAGCCACTGCACCACTCGGGAGACCATCTGTGGAGATGGTTGTTCTTCTGGAAGACCTCCCATCTCTGCAGCACTCCACCAATCAGGCCTTTATGGTGGAGTGGCCAGACGGAAGCCACTCCTCAGTAAAAGGTACATGACAGCCCGCTTGGAGTTTGCCAAAAGGCACCTAAAGGACTCAGATCAGAGAAACAAGATCGAAGTCTTTGGCCTGAATGCCAAGCATCACGTCTGAAAGAAACCTGGCACCATCGAGGGAAAGATGAACAGAGCAAAGTACAGAGAGATCCTTGATGAAAACCTGCTCCAGAGTGCTCAGGACCTCAGACTGGGGCGAAGGTTCACCTTCCAACAGGACAACGACCCTAAGCACACAGCCAAGACAACGCAGGAATGGCTTCGGGACAAGTCTCTGAATGTCCTTGAGTGGCCCAGCCAGTGCCCGGACTTGAACCCGATCTAACATTGCTGGAGAGACCTGAAAATAGCTGTGCAGCAACGCTCCCCATCTAACCTGACAGAGCTTGAGAAGAATGGGAGAAACTCCCCAAATACAGGTGTGCCAAGCTTGTAGTGTCATACCCAAGAAGACTCGAGGCTGTAATCGCTGCCAAAGGTGCTTCAACAAAGTGCTGAGTAAAGGGTTTGAATACTTATGTAAATGTCATATTTCCGTTTTTGTATTTTTTATTATGGGGTATTGTGTGTAGATTGATGAAAAACAACAATTGAATCAATTTTAGAATAGGGCTGTAATGTTACAAAATGTGGAAAAAGTCAAGGGGTCTGATTACATTCTGAAGGCACTGTGTGTATATATACAGTGTGGAAAAAAAGTATTTAGTCAGCCACCAATTGTGCAAGTTCTCCCACTTAAAAAGATGAGAGAGGCCTGTAAATTTCATCATAGGTACACGTCAACTATGACAGACAAATTGAGAAGAAAAAAATCCAGAAAATCACATTGTAAGATTTTTAATGAATTTATTTGCAAATTATGGTGGAAAATAAGTATTTGGTCACCTACAAACAAGCAAGATTTCTGGCTCTCACAGACCTGTAACTTCTTCTTTAAGAGGCTCCTCTGTCCTCCACTCGTTACCTGTATTAATGGCACCTGTTTGAACTTGTTATCAGTATAAAAGACACCTGTCCACAACCTCAAACAGTCACACTCCAAACTCCACTATGGCCAAGACCAAAGAGCTGTCAAAGGACACCAGAAACAAAATTGTAGACCTGCACCAGGCTGGGAAGACTGAATCTGCAATAGGTAAGCAGCTTGGTTTGAAGAAATCAACTGTGGGAGCAATTATTAGGAAATGGAAGACATACAAGACCACTGATAATCTCCCTCGATCTGGGGCTCCACGCAAGATCTCACCCCGTGGGGTCAAAATGATCACAAGAACGGTGAGCAAAAATCCCAGAACCACACGGGGGGACCTAGTGAATGACCTGCAGAGAGCTGGGACCAAAGTAACAAAGCCTACCATCAGTAACACACTACGCCGCCAGGGACTCAAATTCTGCAGTGCCAGACGTGTCCCCCTGCTTAAGCCAGTACATGTCCAGGCCCGTCTGAAGTTTGCTAGAGTGCATTTGGATGATCCAGAAGAGGATTGGGAGAATGTCAGATGAAACCAAAATATAACTTTTTGGTAAAAACTCAACTCGTCGTGTTTGGAGGACAAAGAATGCTGAGTTGCATCCAAAGAACACCATACCTACTGTGAAGCATGGGGGTGGAAACATCATGCTTTGGGGCTGTTTTTCTGCAAAGGGACCAGGACGACTGATCCGTGTAAAGGAAAGAATGAATGGGGCCATGTATCGTGAGATTTTGAGTGAAAACCTCCTTCCATCAGCAAGGGCATTGAAGATGAAACGTGGCTGGGTCTTTCAGCATGACAATGATCCCAAACACACCGCCAGGGCAACGAAGGAGTGGCTTCGTAAGAAGCATTTCAAGGTCCTGGAGTGGCCTAGCCAGTCTCCAGATCTCAACCCCATAGAAAATCTTTGGAGGGAGTTGAAAGTCCGTGTTGCCCAGCGACAGCCCCAAAACATCACTGCTCTAGAGGAGATCTGCATGGAGGAATGGGCCAAAATACCAGCAACAGTGTGAAAACCTTGTGAAGACTTACAGAAAACGTTTCACCTGTGTCATTGCCAACAAAGGGTATATAACAAAGTATTGAGAAACTTTTGTTATTGACCAAATACTTATTTTCCACCATAATTTGCAAATAAATTCATTAAAAATCCTACAATGTGATTTTCTGGATTTTTTTCTTCTCATTTTGTCTGTCATAGTTGACGTGTACCTATGATGACAATTACAGGCCAAGTGGGAGAACTTGCACAATTGGTGGCTGACTAAATACTTTTTTCTCCCACTGTATATATGTGTGTGTGTGTGTGTGTGTGTATATATATACCTCTGTAGCTCAGCTGTTAGAGCACGGTGCTTGTAAGGCCAAGGTAGTGGGTTCGATCCCCGGGACCACCCATACACAAAAAAAAATCTATGCACGCATGACTGTAAGTCGCTTTGGATAAAAGCGTCTGCTAAATGGCATATTATTATTATATTATATTATATATATTTAAAAAAAAATGTTTTCTCCAAATAATTTTTGCAGTAGAGCTAGGGAAAATACTCTGCATTTCAAACAGTCAGCAATAATCTAATTAATTCAGGGTTTGTGAAATTATACCTGAACTAAACATTTGCCTTTCACAACCATAAGACCCACTAATTATTTGAAATAGCTGCTTTTTTTGCAATACACAGATCTGGCTTTCAAGTCTGTATATGAGAAGGCCATTTTTGTTACAAATTTAACCAGAACCATGCATAATGCACATTCACTAATAATGACTAACTTCTTGTAGCAGGCATTATAGAAAAGCACAAGCCCACATGCTAGTGAGTAGCTAGCTCATCTTTATATTTCAAGTTTAGCCAAATTTGGATCTATTTGTTAGCTAACAAGACAGAACAGTTGAATTGTTATGAACACACCCTACTTTCCGTCTCCAACTGTGTAAACAGCATGCTAGCCTGTCCACTTTGTTCAGATGTTGAAATCAAGTGGCCTACCTTATTTCTCTGAATGAGAACGAGTTGCCAATTCCTTATACAAATGCATATTTTTATGCTTATTGCACATTTATAAAACACAGACTAGACAGCTAGTGTAACAGTCCATTTTATTCTTTGGCAGGAGAAGGAAAAACAATTTAATCCATTTTAGAATAAGGCTGTAACGTCACAAAATGTTGAAAAAGTACTTTCCGAATGCACTGTACACCTTCTAGTTCCGGGTTAGACCCCTCCTTTGCTGGGTCCCATGTGGCTTGCAAGGCAGGGTTGTGGGTTCGATTCCCACGGGGGAATCATATGCAAATGTATACACTCACTACTGTAAGTCGCTCTGAATAAGAGCGTCTGCTAAAAGACTAAAATGTAAATGTAGAACTGCCTGAATTCTTCAGCGCATACTACAAGGTGTCGGAAACGTTCCACAGGGATGTTGGTCCATGCTGACGCGATGGCATCATGCAGTTGCTGCAGATTGGACGGTGGTACATTCATGCTATGAACAACCTGTTCCATCTCATCCCAAATATACTCTATTGGGTTAAGGTCTGGGGACTGAGCAGGCCACTCAAATAAACTGAAATTGCTGTCATGTTCCAGGCAATGTTTTTCCACTCCTCAATTGTCCAGTGTTGGTGATCACGTGCCCGCTGGAGCCGCTTCTTCTTGTTTATAGCTGATAGGAGTTGAACCCGGTGTGGTCGTCTGCTGCAATAGCCCATCCGTGACAAGGACCGACGAGTTGTGTTTTCCGAGATGCCGTTCTGCACACCACTGTTGTACTGCGCCGTTAATTGCCTCTTTGTGGCCGTCCTGTTAGCTTACACCAGGGTTTACATTGTTGGACATAAACTGTAAAAACACCAGGAAATCAGCTCCAAGTGATTTTAGTTTGGGAAATCTGTTCCCAAGTATTTCCACACACAATAGAGAGACACGTGATCATATACAAATGTAAGCAAGGTTTGAAATATTATATCTGTTTGGGTTTCTTGCGGTCAATTTGCAGTCTACAAATTATTTGTAATTATGTTCCGGCTCCTGACCGTCCGCTCACGAAAAAATCAACACGCAGCTGAATCTAGTTGATGATCCCTGGCTTACACAATTCTTGCCATTCTCCTTCGACCTCTCTCATCAACGAGCTGTTTTCGCGCACAGGACTGGCGCTGACTGGATGTTTTTTGTTTGTCGCACCATTCTCAGTAAAACTGTTGTGCGTGAAAAGCCCAGGAGGGCGTCCGTTTCTGAGATACTGAATCCGGCGCACCTGGCACCGACGATCATACCACGCTCAAAGTCGCTTAGGTCACTCATTTTGCCTGTTATAACGTTCAAACGAACAGTAACTGAATGCCTCAATGCCTGTCTGCCTGCTTTATATAGCAAGTCATGGCCACGTGATTCACTGTCTTTAGGAGCGATCTGTTTTCATGAACGGGGTGGTGTACCTAATAAACTGTCCTGTTAGTGTATATTATCCTACGTATGTAACTGCCCACGATGACACAGATTGTTTTTTCTTCTATGATCGCAAATGAAGCACTGCAAGATATACCTGTGTGGCACAAAGATTGACCTGATTGAGAGTGACCGGGGCCTGCGGCAAGTAGACTACCATGACGTTCAGGACTTTGCTGACGGTAAATTGTTAATGATAATCATCACTAACTCCCACTTAATCATGTAGTCTGAGTGTCTTACCAGACATCCTCTTGATTAGTATAAGGACTGGCTGTTTTAAAGTGGCTTATGTTTAGATTTTTTTCATTCTCATCTACAGAGATTGGGGCTAAGCATTTTGAAACATCCAGTAAAACAAACAACAACGTGGGTAAGTGACACCTCATATGATCAGTTAATTTAAAATCTAGTGTAACCTTATTTATAACTCATATCTCATAAAACGACATTTCCCAAAATGCAGAAGTAGACTCATAGTGTCTTTTAACCACATTCCAGATGAGCTGTTCCGAAAGGTTGCAGAGGACTACAACAGCATCTCCTTCCAATTCTTGACCGGTGAGACTTTGGCTCTCTTCCTAAATATTGCTCCAATAGCTTAGCTGTCAGTGTACATTTCGTCTGTAATGGTAGTATTACTATCATGAGTTGTCACTTTCATCTCCGCTGTGTTGAATGAATGCGCTCCTGAATGGGTCTGGTTGACACTTCTCTGCTCTCTTTACAGAAGAGACCGGTATTGACTTGGGTCAGAAGAAGGACTCTTATTTCTATTCCTGCTGCCACAGTTAAGCCTTTACTGGATGGACAGCGATCACTGGCTGTAAAACCAAACTGGAAATGCAGGATGGATGCTACACATCCCACCTGGAGCCTGTCCATTTGAAAGAGAGGAGTCCAAACAGTACTATTGTTTTTTTTGGGGGGGGGTTGCTTTTTTCAGTTGTCCCGTAGAAGATGACATGCTCACTGCATTTAAAGGAGTGCTAACAATAATAGGACACGACCCCTCTCCCAGGACAAAATACCTGCCAAGGGTGATTTCCGAATGAAGCAGACGAGGAAATAGCACCTAACCCCACTTTTAAAAAAAACAACATTAATTTCCTCAGTGTCTATCAACCCACCTTATATAAATGAATTATGCTGATGACACGAATGGCCTTCATCCCACAGTCAAATGCCTTGAGTGAGTGCTTCTTTTTAATGACTTGATTTTAATAAGCATTCTGTGCGTTTTGGGACCTTGAACAATATTTTCATTGTCTACTCTTCATGGTGAAATGTACTTGCCGTACTATGTACCTGCACATTTATTGTCATGTGACATATGTTTTTCTTTTTGTCATAAGCTCTGATCCAGTTGAAAGTATGGAACGCAACTAGAAAGATTGCACCAGCACAGGACAAAGCTTGTGGGTAAATGTAATATGATAGTTATGTCGCCATGGCTAAAAGTACAAGATATTGCTATATGTGGTCCTGGTAGAGCATGGCACTTACACTGCCAGGGTTGTGGGTTTGATTCCCTGGGCTACCCATACGTAAAATAAATGCACGCATTACTTTAAGTCACTTTGGATAAAACTGTCTGCTAAATGGCATTTATATATATGTGTGTGTGTGTATATACTCAAAGAAACCCAAATACAGCTATGTTTAACTAATGTTCAATGTAATCTCCAAGTCACTATTTCAATGTTACGGACGCCTCATCACCGTGGCTGACCATTGTCGTTACTCCACACACAATGGGAAGTTGCAATTGTATTGTTAATGTTGACACTTTTCAAGACACCTTTGACCTTTTGAGACAGTCTAACCAATGGCAGATTTTTACTTGATTTTACCAATGTGCGTGAAAATATACCTTAGTTAGAGCTATTCTTGAATTTGAGTGCAAAGAAATTTGAGAGGGAATTCTGAAACCTCACTGAGGTTTTTTTTCAGTCCCACTGAAGTTGTGCCTGTAGGGGACTAGTAGTAAACAGCAGCAATGGGCCCCACAGGCATGAATCATATCCATCATTAGCTGTGTATAGAAGGCTCCATTCAAGTGTACATACACTTCAACAGACGTGTTATTGTTTACACACACACAGCACCTTCTATGGTGCCACTCCCCACAGACGCAGACCTGGTGCCTGAGAAACAGGACTAGTTCACATAGCTCATTTTTATGAATGGTTTACAGGACTCTGTTATTAGTAGGTGCAAGGGGCACAGGCACAAAGCCAGAGGTTGTTTGCAGTCCCGCGTCTGTCTGAGGCCTTGTAGATATTATAACGTATATATTTCCAACACTATTACAGGTCCACAGAGAGTCGGCTGATATGATAATTCATTGTGTGCACTCCAGTGACTGTTTTGTAGCATGTTGTATATTGAAAAAATAAAGACTACATTTCTGCAAGTCTGTCTGTGTGACCTACAGTACATTGGCCTGGTCAACCAGACTGCTGTACTCACCATTGTTTTCCTTCACTTTATCATACAGTATGTGAAGTTTGGTTATTAACTAGGCTTATAGTACACTGAGCTATGGATGTGTTAAAGCCAGTTGCTATAACATAAGCACCTCTAAAGTGGATTATGGTAACAAATCTATTATGGTAACAAAGTTGTGAACTGTTATTACAGTAATATGGCTTCCACCTTGACTATTCAGTCGGAAAGGTAACAATCAAACCTCTGTCCCAAATCAAAATGCCAAAAACAGAGTTGAAGAAAAATATGTAATTGCAACTTACATTTATTTATTTATTATGTACAAAGGACTCCAGCACATTTCAATATCCTCACAAGGCAGCAGGATATTATTGAACTCTTCAACAGTTCCATTTTAACAGATGAATTACAAGGCTTAATAAGGCAGAGAGGGAAGAGAGACAGAAGCTAAGAAGCATGAAGGCAACAACAAAAAAACAGCAGTAGAAAAACAATGTCCAGCTTTGTTACATATGTACAGTGAGGGAAAAAAGTATTTGATCCCCTGCTGATTTTGTACGTTTTCCCACTGACAAAGAAATGATCAGTCTATAACTTTAATGGTAGGTTTATTTGAACAGTGAGAGACAGAATAACAACAAACAAATCCAGAAAAACGCATGTCAAAAATGTTATAAATTGATTTGCATTTTAATGAGGGAAATAAGTATTTGACCCTTCTGCAAAACATGACTTAGTACTTGGTGGCAAAACCATTGTTGGCAATCACAGAGGTCAGACATTTATTGTAGTTGGCCACGAGGTTTGCACACATCTCAGGAGGGATTTTGTCCCACTCCTCTTTGCAGATCTTCTCCAAGTCATTAAGGTTTCGAGCCTGACATTTGGCAACTCGAACCTTCAGCTCCCTCCACAGATTTTCTATGGGATTAAGGTCTGGAGACTGGCTAGGCCACTCCAGGACCTTAATGTGCTTCTTCTTGAGCCACTCCTTTGTTGCCTTGGCCGTGTGTTTTGGGTCATTGTCATGCTGGAATACCCATCCACGACCCATTTTCAATGCCCTGGCTGAGGGAAGGAGGCTCTCCCCCAAGATTTGACGGTACATGGCCCCGTCCACCGTCCCTTTGATGCGGTGAAGTTGTCCTGTCCCCTTAGCAGAAAAACACCCCCAAAGCATAATGTTTCCACCTCCATGTTTGACGGTGGGGATGGTGTTCTTGGGGCCATAGGCAGCATTCCTCCTCCTCCAAACACGGCGAGTTGAGTTGATGCCAAAGAGCTCCATTTTGGTCTCATCTGACCACAACACTTTCACCCAGTTCTCCTCTGAATCATTCAGATGTTCATTGGCAAACTTCAGACGGGCATGTATATGTGCTTTCTTGAGCAGGGGGACCTTGCGGGCGCTGCAGGATTTCAGTCCTTCACGGCGTAGTGTGTTACCAATTGTTTTCTTGGTGACTATGGTCCCAGCTGCCTTGAGATCATTGACAAGATCCTCCCGTGTAGTTCTGGGCTGATTCCTCACCGTTCTCATGATCATTGCAACTCCATGAGGTGAGATCTTGCATGGAGCCCCAGGCCGAGGGAGATTGACAGTTCTTTTGTGTTTCTTCCATTTGCGAATAATCGCACCAACTGTTGTCACCTTCTCACCAAGCTGCTTGGCGATGGTCTTGTAGCCCATTCTAGCCTTGTGTATGTCTACAATCTTGTCCCTGACATCCTTGGAGAGCTCTTTGGTCTTGGCCATGGTGGAGAGTTTGGAATCTGATTGATTGATTGCTTCTGTGGACAGGTGTCTTTTATACAGGTAACAAGCTGAGTTTAGGAGCACTCCCTTTAAGAGTGTGCTCCTAATCTCAGCTCGTTACCTGTATAAAAGACACCTGGGAGCCAGAAATCTTTCTGATTGAGAGGGGGTCAAATATTTATTTCCCTCATTAAAATGCAAATCAATTTATAACATTTTTTACATGCGTTTTTCTGGATTTATTTGTTGTTATTCTGTCTCTCACTGTTCAAATAAACCTACCATTAAAATTATAGACTGATCATTTCTTTGTCAGTGGGCAAACGTACAAAATCAGCAGGGGATCAAATACTTTTTTCCCTCACTGTAGGTATGTATAAAAACAGTTATACAGCCTCCCAACTCTTCCTTTGTGCCACATCAAAGAACCCTCCAAAGACGAGGGAGGGGTAACTGACAATGTAGAAACAGACAATATTAAAGCAAAACGATATACAGCTCATTATCATATCAAGTGCCAAAGGTACTGTAGTGATAGTTGGGCCTTCCATCTCCCGACTCTTCCGATTCCCAGCTCATGTCATGTGACCAGAAATGACCCTCGACGACCTCATACTGTATGCTTTCATAGCCTACTATTATCTGGTTGATGACTGTGATACTGTTACATCAATATAAAGTGTTATTAACCACGTCTGTTGACAGCAACTCAACTGTAAACAACAAATATGTATCAAAGTTGAAGTGATCCTGTTTGTGGGAAAGGTTAATGACAAAGCTGAGACCAGAGAACACATGATATTCACTGGCTCTAGACTCATTATTAGTTCTTGTTTTTTTTTATAGCTTTTATATACAAAATGTATATACATATTATATACGATTTTGGAAGGACAGGCTAGGCCAATCTAAAATGTACAAATACTCTTCCAACAGATGTTTTCATCAGTTAAAATCTATCTGTGTTGTTAAAATTCATAGGCGTTTAGTGCTATAAATATGTTCAAGTCAGATAAATATTTACTATGGCCATGACGATGGGTGCCTGTATCTGTATATCGGAGCAACAGCAGGGGGCACCATGGCAACCTTTACAGTACAGTCTATGGACAAGAAGGGACCTTTGGAACCGTTTCACCCATTTTCAAGTCATTAAAAAACTGGTTGGTTTTCTATTAAAATATAAGAAATTGCACATATCTTTTCATGGGCCTCATCTAAAACTAAGCCAGTTAAGTTTTAATACATAAAGGCTGCTAGAGATACTTTGACATGACAAAAGTGACACAATTGGGAGACATTCAGCTGTAGAAATAGTGCGCATTGTGCAGATTTGGAGTAAAGCCATGTTACAAGCTTCAGAAATGGAAACACAACATTCCCATACCTGGAAAGTGGCAAATCCACTTCATTCTGTTCTCTGGCCCTCTAGAATCAACTTCACATCCCTTAGTTCACAAAAACCCCAACACTGATTGAATCAATTGGAAAGGCATAAGCAGAGAAGAAAAACTGACACAACAAAGACAGCGAGGCAGAGACAAGAGGGACAAAACACATAGCTGAGACAAATACATACTGTGGTAAAAGCATTTTAGCAGGGGAACGGACCAGTGTCCTTTTTAGTGCTAAACTAAAGGCAAGGAGTATAGCCTAGCAAACGGAAAGTATGGATTATATAAAGAGACAGCAATGTCACTAATATAAGTCAGTCCCATCTTCATTTGTGCGTTATAAAAGTCAATATAAATATGTCATAGAGAATATAATACACACAAGAGAGCTAGCTGTCTTAGTGCTAAGGTTACGTCAAGTAGCTTACTCAACCGCTGAGTACACTCTGGCACTTTCACATTGAAGGTTCAGTTCAGTTTGAAGGGAAAGCTAGACCATGTGAGGAAGCTTCCCACTGGGCAAAAACTGGTTGAATCAATGTCGTTTCCATGTCATTTCAACAAAAAAATTTAATGTGATGACATTGAATCAATGTGGAAACTGATTGGATTTGCAAAAAGTCATCAACGAAAGATAATTTCCAATTTTTTTCACCTAACTTTTAACCTAAACCCAATGACATGGTGAAATCTTTGGTTGATTTCACATAGAATTTACGTTAGTTGACAACTCAATCAGATTTCGGATGTGTTCAAAGACCTACAGTACAACCAACCGTACCCCAAACAGATATCAGTACAGAGGAGCTATCGGCAATGCAATGCCAGGGTTATGGGAGAACGCAAAGTGCCATCATGAATTAGGATATAGGCATGTCCAATATCAATATCACCTTGATGTACTACCCACATTTACAAACTAAGTCATTTGATTTAATGTGTATTGTCTAGGTGTCTGTATCATTTGGTGTGGTAAGGCAGATGGCAGCAGAGACGGTAGATTCATCATCATCATCATCAAATAGGTATGGATATAGATTGTGCACTGCACACCAATGACAAGGACGAAATGACTGATTGATAGTGTGACTAATAATTTCCATGGCTGACGCACTAATTTCACAGCATTACTCATTTGTGCCATGTAGGAGAGTTGCTACAGAGAGAAACAGCTTGACAGGCCCATCTAACACACCATAGGCTACTTTCTCATGAGGGGATTTCTGTGCCTTTAACAGCACTGTCCCTCTTCTCTTCAGTCTCCCCTTTGATAAAGGTGAAGCTTGAGAAACGTTAGTTGCCGTGTTCTCCAAGAGGAGGTGCAGAAATGTAAACATGTTATTAAAACCACAAACCACCAGCTATGACAACGAACCATGAAGAGATTCAAATGGGCCTATCTATATGACTACAGTTACCATCATACCCATTGTGCCCTTAGGCACATATCTAGGATCAGTGTACCTATCACAAACCCTAACTGGGACTATTAGGGGGAAAACTGACCATAAATCAGTGTCCAGGGGAAACTCCCTCCTACTCCGTTTCGACACACCAGCTCCAGGCCACATTGTAACATCCTGCTATTTCTCAGGGGTCTGCATGAACAAGGCTGTGTGTAAATTCACAGATCTATAAATCATCTGTACATGGATCCTTATATACAAAGATGAGTGAATCTACATGATGCTGAGCTCAGTCCCACCCTCAAGAACAAGCATGTAGCCCTTCTCCCCTCCATGGCAGGCCTTCAGGCCAATCACATGCTCACCGGACAATAAGAACAGTGATTGACAAGGCTATTCTGTGGCTTGGTTGGCCACTGTCCGTGTCTCCCCCTGTAGGGACTGTGTGGAATGATAAGCCAGGATGCAGAGAGTTGTTGAAAAAGGACATAGGTCTTTACTCCTCTTCTTCCTCTTCCTCTTCTTCCTCTTCTTCCTCACCCTCCTCTTCTTCTTCCTCCCCCTCCTCTTCTTCTTTCTCCTCCTCTTCCTCATCCTCTTCATCTTTCAACTTTAAGCCTTCCATCTCTCCATCCTCCAACTCTCCCTCAATCCCCTCTCCATCCCCCTCTTCATTACCAAAAGGATCCTCAATTTCTTCTTTCTCATCTCCGTAGGAAGAGATGGGTGAGTATTGGGGAAGGAATAGGTGAGAGCTATCGATGGCCTCAGAGCTGGGTAGAGGGGTGCTGATGGGGCCAGAGATGGGACCAGAGATGGGGAGAGGGGAGAAAGACTCAGGGCCAGGGATAGGTTGGGGGTCCCCTGTCCCCCTTGTAGTGACTGTAGCCGCAGCACCAGCCACGTCAGCAGCAGGAGGGGGTACAACACTAGCCCCCAGGCCTGGTGAGATAGCCCCAGTGTCGGGTAGGTGTTCCCTGATCTCCCCTGGCTCCAGGGGGTCTGGTCCACAGGGGTCGTGTTCGCTGCAGGACAGCCGTCCGTCCAGCTTGGAGATGAAGAGCATGCCGTCGCGGTGCAGTGTGCAGTACGAGCTGGGACACATCTCACAGAAGGAGGCCGCCTCCTTACCACACAGGTCACACTGGTGCCACGGGCACTCCCACCGACCTGCAGCACAGAGAAGGCAGTCAGACACAGTATCTCAGACAGAGGCAGTCAGACACAACTCTGCATCAGCAGTAACAGAAAAGTAATCAGCACACTGAGACTGCTAACCAGTGTTCTGACAGACGTCGAACAGTGAAAATGCATGAAATACGTCAGGTACAGTTGAAGTCGGAAGTTTACATACACCTTAGCCAAATACATTTAAACAGTTTTTCACAATTCCTGACATTTAATCCTAGTAGTAATTCCCTGTTTTAGGTCAGTTAGGATCACCACTTTATTTTAAGAATGTGAAATGTCAGAATAATAGTAGAGATAATTATTTATTTCAGCTTGTATTTATTTCATCACATTCCCAGTGGGTCAGAAGTTTACATACACTCAATTAGTATTTGGTAACATTACCTTTAAATTGTTTCGGGTAGCCTTCCACAAGCTTCCCACAATAAGTTGGGTGAATTTTGGCCCATTCCTCCTGACAGAGCTGGTGTAACTGAGTCAGGTTTGTAGGCCTACTTGCTCGCACACGCTTTTTCAGTTCTACCCACAAATGTTCTATAGGATTGAGGTCAGGGCTTTGTGATGGCCACTCCAATACCTTGACTTTGTTGTCCTTAAGCCATTTTGCCACAACTTTGGAAGTATGCTTGGGGTCATTGTCCATTTGGAAGACCCATTTGCGACCAAGCTTTAACTTCCTGACTGATGTTTTGAGATGTTGCTTCAATATATCCACATCATTTTCCTTCCTCATGATGCCATCTATTTTGTGAAGTGCACTAGTCCCTCCTGCAGCAAAGCACCCGCACAGCATGATGCTGCCACCCCCGTGCTTCACAGTTGGGATGGTGTTCTTTTGGCTTGCAAGCGACCCCCTTTTTCCTCCAAACATAACGATGGTCATTATGGCCAAACAGTTATTTACATTTACATTTACGTCATTTAGCAGACGCTCTTATCCAGAGCGACTTACAAATTGGTGCATTCACCCTATAGCCAGTGGGATAACCACTTTACAATTATTATTATTATTTTTTTTTTTTTTAGGGGGGGGGGGGGGGGGTAGAAGGATTACTTTATCCTATCCCAGGTATTCCTTAAAGAGGTGGGGTTTCAAATGTCTCCGGAAGGTGGTGAGTGACTCCGCTGTCCTGGCGTCGTGAGGGAGCTTGTTCCACCATTGGGGTGCCAGAGCAGCGAACAGTTTTGACTGGCCAGCAGGCCAGAGGTGGATGAACGCAATGCCCTCGTTTGGGTGTAGGGACTGATCAGAGCCTGAAGGTACGGAGGTGCCGTTCCCCTCACAGCTCCATAGGCAAGCACCATGGTCTTGTAACAGATGCGAGCTTCAACTGGAAGCCAGTGGAGTGTGCGGAGGAGCGGGGTGACGTGAGAGAACTTGGGAAGGTTGAACACCAGACGGGCTGCGGCATTCTGGATGAGTTGTAGGGGTTTAATGGCACAGGCAGGGAGCCCAGCCAACAGCAAGTTGCAGTAATCCAGACGGGAGATGACAAGTGCCTGGATTAGGACCTGTGCCGCTTCCTGTGTAAGGCAGGGTCGTACTCTCCGAATGTTGTAGAGCATGAACCTGCAGGATCGGGTCACCGCCTTGATGTTAGCGGAGAACGACAGGGTGTTGTCCAGGGTCACGCCAAGGCTCTTCGCACTCTGGGAGGAGGACACAACGGAGTTGTCAACCGTGATGGCGAGATCATGGAACGGGCAGTCCTTCCCCGGGAGGAAGAGCAGCTCCGTCTTGCCAAGGTTCAGCTTGAGGTGGTGATCCGTCATCCATACTGATATGTCTGCCAGACATGCAGAGATGCGATTCGCCACCTGGTTATCAGAAGTTTATATTTTTGTTTCATCAGACCAGAGGACATTTCTCCAAAAAGTACGATCTTTGTCCCCATGTGCAGTTGCAAACCGTAGTCTGGTTTTGGAGCAGTGGCTTCTTCCTTGCTGAGCAGCCTTTCAGGTTATATCGATATAGGACTTGTTTTACTGTGGATATAGATACTTTTGTACCTGTTTCCTCCAGCATCTTCACAAGGTCCTTTGCTGTTGTTCTGGGATTGATTTGCACTTTTCGCACCAAAGTACGTTCATCTTCGCGTCTCCTTCCTGAGCGGTATGACGGCTGCGTTGTCCCATGGTGTTTATACTTGCGTACTATTGTTTGTACAGAAGAATGTGGTACCTTCAGGCGTTTGGAAATTGCTCCCAAGGATGAACCAGACTTGTGGAGGTCTACAGTTTTTTCTCTGAGGTCTTGGCTGATTTCTTTTGATTTTCCCATGATGTCAGGCAAAGAGGCACTGAGTTTGCAGGTAGGCCTTGAAATACATCCACAGGTACACCTCCAATTGACTCAAATGATATCAATTAGCCTATCAGAAGCTTCTAAAGCCATGACATCATTTTCTGGAATTTTCCAAGCTGTTTAAAGGAACAGTCAACATAGTGTATGTGAACTTCTGACCCACCGGAATTGTGATACAGTGAATTATAAGTGAAATAATCTGTAAACAATTGTTGGAAAAATGACTTGTGTCATGCACAAAGTAGATGTCCTAAACGACTTGCCAAAACTATAGTTTGTTAACAATGAATTTGTGGAGTGGTTGAAAAACAAGTTTTAATGACTCCAACCTAAATGTATGTAAACTTCCGACTTCAACTGTATATATGTATGTATGTATGTATATATATGTGTGTGTGTGTGTATATATATGTGTGTGTGTATATATATGTGTGTGTATATGTATGTGTGTATATATATATATATATATAATTTCCTGAGCTTTCTTATATCTCCTACAGACACTTCAAAAATGTTTTTTTTTTTACCGTTTATGAATGTGATATTCAATGTGTTTCTTTGGGCTATAGTAGTAAAGGCCAAATTCTATTATTGTATCCAATATTTTTTTGGTATACCTAAAGTTCAAAATCAAATAGCTAAATGAGTTTTAATGACTCCAACCTAAGTGTATGTAAACTTCCGACTTCAACTGTATATAATTCTCCAATCACACAAACCTACAGTAACAAAGAGGAAATAGAACAAACCACTACAAGCTATGATAACAACTCAATCATTTCCTCTGACAGGAACCTAACTGGGCCACTGACCTGCAGGCCTTTTGGTGAGGTTGAGACAGTCTGCGTGGTAGACCTTGGGACAGCCTGGTCTCTTACAGGACACAATCTGTCCCCCGTCCCCACAACTGAAGCACTCGTCCTCCCTCTCCTTGGTCACCTCCATCTTGTTCTTCCGTTTAGCCTGGACCTTTTTCTTCAGCTTGCGGCCCTTGTCGTCTGCTGGAGGGTTGTTCTGAGGAAGGATGAAGAGTCAAGATGTAAATAGAGACAAAGACACACAAACTGAAGATGCCCCTGTCAATCAAATATCTCATTCCCCTTGCCTACTACTATTTTGACTACTGTATCAAGTGCCCTTGGATTTGTGGAAAGAGATTTTAAAATAGCTATCAAGATTGTTTCTATTATCTCATGATGTATCTTATTCATTCTGTGGATCATGTCATCAAACCCAATAACAACATCTTGTTCCAGTGTCTCCTCTCACCTTTGGCCGGACTCCTAGGAAGCCGCTGCAGTTTGGAGCTCCACATTTACACACAGTCTTCCCATTGGCCAGACACTCCAGATTGTAGTTGAACGTCAGCTCTGTGCCTGGAGACAGGCAGAATGACCCATAGAGGACAGATATAAACCAGTATACACAACAAGTGATGCAGAGACGGACATTAACTGCTGATTGGATTTACCTATGTAATTACCTTGTAATAGACTAGTACTGTAAATATACTGCCTATGGACTACTTTGCCCTGGTAAATATTATGCAACTTCCTTTTCTTCCTTAACTGGTACAATGCAACCCTTATAGTTCTCCTGCCAATGCCTATGTAATGAAAAGTGTTGCCAAAAGTCAAAGCTTTAACATAGCACAAACTCCTCATGCCAAATCTCCGCTCACCTGCAGGGACGTCTATGAGAGCGAAGAGCCCCACACGTGTATCTCCATTCACCGTCCACTTCTGGGTCTCACAGTTGGGCTGGCAGCTGTGGTTCATGAAGCGGGCCTGATTCCCCTTCGGACCAGCGTCGATGATCCGATCCTGACAAACACACCGAAATGGACAACACTGTTCAATCATCATGTCTGCTTGGGTGTCTTTGTATTACCATGCAAAGCAGATGCAATTTTCTGAGGTGAAATACAGAAAACCAAAAGAATCATCTTAAAACAAGAAACCAAGAAATGGTCAATTGTAGTGATAATAACTTATAACAACCAATAGCATTAAAGGTGCAATATGCAGATATCCCTCCGCCATTTCCTGGTTGCAAAAATTCTAATAGTTCGCCAAATTTCAGTTTATGTGACAAAACAAGCAGTCATTGTGTACAAAATCATTGTACCATCTAAACCACTGTGAAATATATTTTCCATAACCAAAAATATTTTTTTTTCAGCTGTTTGAAACTGGTGTACAAACCCGAAAGTATAACACGCAAAAATGAAACTTAAGAACGGGAAGCATAGAATACTGCTTCTTAGACTTGCTTTCAATGAGAATGACAGATCTATAACTCACATTTCTATGTGAATTTTGTCAGGTCGCCCCAAAATGTACATATTACAGCTTTAATAACCCATGACAACTTCCTGTAGCTGGTAACATAAATCATAGTTAAAGGTCATAAGATTACAGAGAAAACTTCAGGCCAAGAGACAGTCCCATGAGAGACTTCTGACTTATTTTCTGACTCCCAACCCCTCCCGCAAGAACTGGTCCCGAACCCTTCTGCAGTCCCGCAATGTTATTTTAGGTGTATGTGACCGACTTGCTTTGCAGCCCCGGTTCCAGCAATTTTGCCAACCTAGTCGAAATCAAAATGTGCAAAAAAAACTATAGGTTAAAATACCAGATATTCTCACGTGGCCCATTATCATTTACATTTTACATTTTAGTAATTTAGCAGACGCTCTTATCCAGAGCAACTTACAGTTATTTTTAAATTTTTAATTTTTCATACTGGCCCCCTGTGGGAATCAAACCCACAACCCTGGCATTGCAAACGCCATGCTCTACCAACTGAGCTACATCATTATTATATTAGGCAATCAGTATTATTGGGCGACATCAGCCAATAGTGTAGATGTGGTTTGAAAGAGAGTAGTTGTGGCGAAATTTAGTAGAGTGGACACTTGACTACTTGAGCTACATTTAGGAGTGTGACGATTTGCAAGCAGAGTAAAATACACGCGTTATCAATATTTATTTCCAGTCAATGTCGGAGTCTAACCTATAGCCTACCATATTTAGGAATTTAGAGACCTAGAGTCGATGTCTGCGCCCCAGCGGAAATCAAATTAGCAAAATAAATTTTAAAAACGTAAAAATCTGTCAGTTTAAGCTAGAGATATGTTTTTTTGCATTGGATGCGTCTCAATCCACCGCATCTGCCAATGTCACACTTCCGCATCTGCAGTGAAAGGGGACAGAGCTAGAGCAGTGTTTTTCAGACCATGAGACAAACCCCCAAAATCTGTCTTCTCACAAAATTGTCTGTAGAGTCCAAACAGTTTGGGCTACACACTAATATGAGACTCTCACAAACACGTACATGTCAGTTGTTTTGCTCTAGGACGCCCACAGCCCTCACAAGACTCGTCTGAAGGTCCCCCGGTACCAGTTGAAAAAGTTAATGGCAGTACAGTATATATGGAGACTGTTTAATGTAAAAAATAAGGGGTTAAATAAAAAACTAAAAAACTAACAACACATTGTTTTTTACTAATGTTTCCTGATCTTTCTTATATCTCTTAGATATAGGACAGACACTTCAGAACAAACTTCCTTTAGATTTTTTTGGGGGACTATCTGTTGTTCCATGTAGTGAATCTGTTATTCAATGCGTTTGTATGGGCTAATAGCAGTAAAAATCAAATAATTTGTATATATATATTTTTTGATACTTCAAGGCGTCTTAAAATTCTAAATCAAATAGCTAAATGATCCTTGTAGCTTAGTAGAACCCCCCCCCCTCCTCCCCCTGCTTATACAGTGCTGTGCTGTGCTTCTCCGCCAATATAGTCTAGTCTACAGGCTATTTAATTGAGACCACACATACATGCACACTTGATCTCGCACGCCCAACAAAAGAGAAGAAATGTAGGCCACTGAAAGTACAGTCAATCAGCAAGAATTAGGCTATTAGAGTTTGTAAATATTGCAACAGAGGTGCTTTTAATACAATAGATAACAAATAGCCTACAAAACAAAGACAAACGTTTTGAAATAATCTGTCATATATTTGATAGGACCGGACAATTTGCAGGCAGACACAAATAAATGTGTTATCAATATTTATTTCCAGTCAATGTCGGAGCCAAAACTATAGCCTACCATATTTTGGAAGTACATTTTCATGGAAAGACAACTGTGCGTGCTTCTCCACCCATGCATATAGCCTACACTACAGACTATTTAATTGAGACCACGAATAGGCGCATTTGATTTTGCACGCCGCCCAACACAAGAAAGGAGAGGTAGGCTACTGAACTTTAAGAAAAATTATCCTATGACAGTTTGTGAATAGTGCGCCAAAGAGGTGTTTTTAATACAATAGATAACACATACAAAATAGAAAGAAAACTGTTCGGAATAATCTGCAGGACCCAAAAATATTTTCATCCCAAAATTGTCTGTCTGACCACCCGCTCCCGCCCGCAGCACGCTGCAATGCTCTCTGTCGGGGCTGCAGGATGCCTGTGGGAATGCATCTCTCTACACTTAAAGGACCAGTGCAGTCAAAAAACTTGATCTTCCTGTGTTTTATACTGTGTATATTTCCACACTATGAGGTTGGAATAATACTGTGAAATTGTGAAAATGATGATTATGCCCTTTTAGTATAAGAGCTGTTTGAAAAGACCGCCTGAAATTTCAGCCTGTTTTGGTGGGATGGAGTTTTGGCCTGCCTGCTGACATCACCAGGCGGTAAATTAGTTAATAGACCAATAAGAAAAAGAGTTCCAAACCTCTCTGCCAACAGCTAGTTTTCAGTTTTCCCCTCCCCACTAAGACCATTCCAGACAGTCCTAGCAAAATTATTGCTTGAGAAATTGCTCTTTGCTAAGAAGCTATTTTTGTTTGCTTTTGACAATTTTAATTGAAAACAATCACAGTAAGGTACTAAAATGTTACCCAGAAATGATTTGATATTGCGATAAAAACAGCTGCATTGGACCTTTAAGTCCTGACTCCTGAACCCCACCTTGTCCAGAGTCAGCATGTAGAAGTTACAGATGTCGTTATCCTGGGCGTGTTTGATCCTGGCCCGACACTCCTCCTCATCGATCACCTCTCCTACGTACTCATTCACAAACTCCCCCTGAGAACACACAACCATGACAGTCAGAAGGAGAGATACAGTGGAACACTCATTCTAATACTAATCATCAGGGGTGAAAGTAAGGTGGTACGGTCCGGTACGGCGTCCCCGGCAAAATAAATAGTGGGGGTACGCTGTAACGGTAAAATGTGAGCCTATCACAATTAATACAACAGTCCCAGAAAACGATAGGCTATTACAACATGATTTAACATTACTGTATGTCAGCCGCATGACAAATTCGCGAATTGACTGTATATGCTCCAAATTGCGTTGTGGTTCGAGGAGAACACTTACATTTAGTCAAGGCAGAGATGAGTGGCCGAGATGCGGAGATGAGTGGCCGAGACCGAGGCGCGCGTGGACTACAGTGGATGCATCAATTCAGGCTACAAGCGTAGGCCTAATGACAATCGCAGAATGTCATTACAATACATGTACTGTAGGTGTTTTGTAACTGATGTCTCTTTCCATTCATCAAATTGCAGGTGCACAGTGCACTGTTGGGGTTTGGATGCTGAAATTATTTGGTGAGTGGACAAATGTTTCAAGTTTCAATGTGCGTGGGTAGCCTACAGGAGTGCCTTTGTTAAGTGACTGTTTGACAATCAGCTGAAAAAATCATGATTGGTTGTGTTTATGCCACATTAAAAGGCTAGGGGAAGCTAAGTTTCCCTAAAGTACATTTTATTAAATTGACATTATATAGCCTAATTAGCTTACTCCTGTCTATACAGAAATAAATAAAATCATTCAACATAGGCTACTACACCAGAAAGCATGATTTGGCCACAGATGACCATTAGCTTAAATGTTTTAAATCACATAGTCTACAGTCGGAAGGGCCCGCAATTTGGGCAGCGCGCACTGCAAATACCAAATAGATTGTTGAGTTGCGAATGTCAGTGAAAGTCAGAGAGACCCAGCCAGGCATATCGCAATATTTAAAAATACAATCGCGGAAAAGCTGTTTGGAAAGCAAATGGCTATTGCTGTAAAGAGATGACAATGAAAAGACTCCAATCTGTCTTTATCAAAATTCTTAACTTAATTGATCGAACAGTAGCCTATCTTATTGGCACCGGCGGAGAACATCAGCCATATCCCCGGTGAGTGTGCATATTCACTGTCTTTATCATTGGGTCAGTGCTACTTTTGTTTGTTTTTGGACAATCATTTCCTCCTCCAGGTTAGATGGATGTCATAGTGTATTTGTGTCTCCCCTTTTCGTAGGCCGATTAAATGGATCAGACAACATCGTTTTTATTGATCTGTTTGTCAGTGTCAGCAGTGTACGCTACCCTGTCATTTTTGTAGTATACTTGGGTGTCCTGTACCGGTAAGAAATGAAATCTACTTTCAACCCTGCTAATCATTCTACTACTCAAAGATTGAACTCTTGGATTTGACTCTTGGATTCATCTGAGAACTCTCTTGGGCCTAACTGACTTTTGAAAGGGTAATTTACATGTAAAGATCATAGACAGACTTGTGCAAATCAATATTTCAAAGCCATGATGGCTATTGATGAGAGGGCTTCGTCTCTTTATAGTTTCATGATTAGATTAACATAGCACTGATTACCATTTCAAAAGTCATTATACTTGATCTTTACATGGCGATGATTCCTTTAACAGCCAAAATATTGTGTAAATTTTTTAGAAAAAAAGTCTGCTGGGACTGAAATCTGTCTGGATTGAAGAGGAATCAAACAAAGTCCCCTTTCAATTCCATAGCTTTTTGAAAATATAGTTTTAGCCCCAGGGGATACAGTTTCATGGCGGCACATTGATCTCTACTTAATTTACTCTATAGTTGACATGTTTTACCTTCTTGATGTCGTGGGCACAGCGAAGGCCCCAGCCTCGTGCCAGCGTCCTGAAGATCTCCACCTGGCTGTACTGGCGCTTGGTGAAGGCCTGGTTAAGGCAGCTCTCCCCCGCTGGGCACACTTGGGGGTGGCACTCGTACATCAGCATGCGGTTGATACACTCAGAGTCAATGCCACACGGGTTCTCGTCCGATGCCTTGCAGTTACAGCGCGGGATCTCTGATAGGTCGGCCGTGATGAACTGCACCTTCCCGATTGGCCTATTCACCTGAGGGTTAGAAGAGTGATGTCAGAGGAATTAAGATGTCAAGGGGATGTTCTAATACTTCTACAGCTCAAAACTTTAACTTAATGTATACATTTTATGTGGCAAGAGGTGTGGCAGTTGCAGGACCTTGATGTGTCTGTATGGAGGGGGTTTCTTGTCATTCCTCCTGTCCTCCTGAAGCTGTCTCAGTTCTTTCTCTGCCTGCAGTTCCAGAAACCTATTAGCAGCTTCCTCCAAAGCTGGGGAAAGATTAACATTAAGTCAACAACAACCTTTTTAATTATATTTTGTGGAAAGTAACTATTTTTACGGGGGAACAAATAGTTACTTTGGAGGCGACTACAACTATTTGAATACAGATCCCAAAAAAGTACTACTTTTAAACTATCTGAATACAGATCTTTGAAAGCAACTACTTAAAAAATATATTTTAATACAGATCTCAGGAAGTGATCACTTTTCTGAAACTATTGGATTGGCCGCCTTCAAATAATGGCAGGGCTGTATCGGGAAGTGCATGTTGAAGATAGAATGAATAGAGCACACACAATCTCCTATACTATTCCCAATCTGTCTGACGGTCATATTTGATCTACACAATACATTTCTATCTGAACATTTTGTAAATGTCCATTTTCCTGAATGTCCATTGCCCCAGGTGTAAATAATCAAGTCAAACCAATTAACCAATTATATTTTGTACAGATAAGTATGAATAAGTCGTGACGCTCAACTAGTCGTGACGCTCAACATGCCACTGAAAAGGTCGAAAGCTGCAATTCATTTTATGATACCTGAAAATACTGCAGAGGTAGGCATATGAGGGTAAGTGTTCTTGTTTCAAACACACACTACACCATCTTTAAAGGAATAGTTTACTCAGAATCAGGGGCGCAACTTTGGTTTTAGAAGTTGGGGGGACATAATAATAATAATAATATATATATTTATTTTGTTGTCAGATAAACACTCCAAACTGCCTACCCGACCGATCAGAGGTGTCCACATGGTCCTAAAGCACACCGTTGCCTCGTTTTGTATCACATTCCAATGATAAAACTGGGGGGGACAAAAATGCAATTTCAGAATGTGGGGGGGGACATATTCCCCCGGTCCCCAGTGAAAGTTGCGCCCCTGCTCAAAATACAAACTAACATGATTTTCAAACCTTGGCTGTAGTTGATTCAAGAAGGCATTTTTAGCCATATTTTGTTACACTTAATATTAAACTGTTATTGTGCCTGTGTAATAACACTGTAATTACCTTTGGAGCGACATTTTATTAGCATGTTGTTACACAATACTTTGGTAATTGCATTTTAATTCCTCTTGTAACTGCTGTACACAAGAGAAATAGTGGCTGCTCCTTATCCCACTTATGTCATAACTCCATTATTATGAAATCTGTATTTATTTTACCAAGTAAGTTGACTGAGAACACATTCTCATTTACAGCAACAACCTGGGGAATAGTTACAGCGGAGAAGAGATTAATGAGCCAATTGGAAGCTGGGGATGATTAGGTGTCCATGATTGGGAATTTAGCCAGGACACCAGGGTTAACATCCCTACTCTTATGATAAGTGCCATGGGATCTTTAGTGACCACAGAGAGTCAGGACACCCGTTTAACGTCCCATCCGAAAGACGGCACCCCACACAGGGCAATGTCTCCAATCACAGCCTTGGGGCATTGGGATCTTTTTTTTTTAGACTAGAGGAAAGAGTGCCTCCTGCTGGCCCTCCAACACCACTTCCAGCAGCATTTGGTCTCCCATCCAGGGACAGACCAGGACCGACCCTACTTTGCTTCAGTGGCAAGCCAGCAGTGGGATGCAGGGTGGTATGCTGCTGGCATAAAGCAATTTCCAAAGTCCCATGTAACACCAATGTTGCTATTGTAATAATCACAAAGTTACTACACTGTATAAGAACTTGATGCCAAGTGTTACTGTATTACCTTAAGTCTCACTCATTATGAAAATAGATTTGTTAGTCATTTTGAAGCTGCAAAAGTGGTCTATTCTAATGTTGAGGTGATTCCATGTTCTAATTCTAGGCTATAGGCTATATTAAGATTCATGTCCAAGAGCCCTTTTGCTTACGATACAATTTCTACCGATCTTTGTGAAAGTTATGATTATTTTTATAGGTGCATTTTCGTGGAACAGTTTCATTTCAATAGTAACATATTTGTTTCTCAAAATCATTGTCACGTGGTTAATCAAACAAATTTGAATTAAGTTAAAATTAAACTAAGGCGAGAGCCCCAGCTTCTGCCATATGGACACATTGATACATTGTGATCCACTGGCGGCTAAAGAAATGAGCGCATAGAACTCAGAGAGCCTATAGGCCAACGCAGCAGTAGGCCTATAACTTCCATCATCAACTAAGTAAAATACAAAGGCCTAAAGCCGACAAATAAAAACAGTAGAAAATATCCTGATGAAAATTATTTATATTTCAATCACATTCATCTCTCTACTCTGCCTGTCTGCCTCCCTTTCTATCTGTCTTGACTTTTTTGTTGTTGCCTGTTTTGCATGTTATTTTGGCATTAACACTGTACGTGTCACATATCAGTTTGCAAACAATGAAAAAATATGATAATAATTTAGTTAATAAAGCCCCATACAAACATGGTCTCTTTTTTGCTTTCTTGAGTAAGGCAGCTCCTAAATGCAGGTGTTTCAGCCTAGCTCAGTGCTTTCTGTGGTGGTGGAGCAGCCAGTGGAAAATAAGGAGCGGAAAATACGGAGCGTAGGGGTTGGTAATGTTCTCTAGTTGCGCCATGATTGGCTCAGTGTTCTGTCACACATGGGGACACTACGCCTTGCTTGACGATATTTCACTATTTGTCTTTCAGATAAATGAAGAATTCCAGAGGCTCACCACAAAGCATCTTGAGCCAAGGTTTATGGCCATGTTTGACCAGGACACCCCTAAGCTGCTTTCCTTATTCCATTCCAAGGGAGGAGCACTTGGACACAGATTGCGGGTTGTGCTGGATGTCCTCCTCCAGGTAAAGTATTCTCAGGAAAATTCACTGTTTTATATTTAGCTGGCTGATGTTCGGTGCTGCAATTTAAGCCACAGGCCCTGCTCTGCTACCCAAGCATTGTATGCTTTTTAGTAATATAGGATACTTGGATCGGTGAATGCATAGATTTCACTCTTTCACATGCACAGATTCAATCCAATGAGAACAGTGATTTTATTGTAAATCAGGGTCATGATGTGAGTTCAGTGAGGAATTTTTGTTCAGCGTTACTGAGCAATTAGCAATTAATGGTATGTGGTTTGTGTTGAATACCTCGTTTCAGAACCTATTGACAAGAGAAGTGGTTTTATGTTGCTTGATTGACTACCTGGCTGAAGATGGAGGTGACCTCATTAAAGACTACCATGTGGGGGCAATAAAGTATTTTCTGACCTGAATATTCTATCACCTGTGTGTGTGAGAGAGAGAGAAATAGAGAGAATGTTAACTGCATTCTGATAAAAAATAAGAGCATCTCGTAATCCAGCTTGATTTAAATTTCCATGTAAAATTGTTCCCAACATTGAAAGAATGTCTGTATTTTTGGGAATTGTTTTTTTACAGGAAGCTGAAGGGGGTGATGTCCTGCTGGACCTTGCACAACATGTCATGAAAATCTATGTAATCCAGAAGGAGGGTGCCATGGCGAGTAATGGTCCAGAGGAGATAGGCATCGTCCTAGAGGGTGTCTTAAGTGATCACCGGTCGGGGCAGTGTCGCAAAGGCTTGGTGCCATTCTTCTTTGGCATGACATATGCTCTGAATCTCAGCTACCCCAAAAAGCTGAATTACACGTTTGAGACATTCCAGAAACTGTTTGTGGAGCTGGACTGCTCAAAGCTCACAGTCAAGATGACAGCCCTCAAGAACAAATTACTGTCTTAAGCAGAATGACAGCCCAGAGGACAATTGTCATAGACTGAATGTCAGGGTTACTTTGTAACACATTCGTAGTTAAACGCTGAGGAGCCTCTGGAACGTTTCTCTCCCTTAATTTCTTCTGGTAGCAGGTCAGGAACGGTGTCCTCTACCACAGGCCTGCTTCTGTGCCTGTGGCACAGAATCTGTGCTGGGACCAGCCTCTGCCTACCGGGGGATGGTCACTGAGAGGCGGGACAGGAGCACATTGCGGTCTGGGACCCCGTCTCCGATCGGCCCGCTGCAATGATCTAGGCTAAATAAGTTAGAGGTTAAGGAAGACACTTTTATTCTTCAAGGTGTGATTTAAAGGTTCACTGCCACGGTATTTAAGTTGTGTTTTGTATACAAAGATACAAAATAGGTGTTTTTAATTAAGGATATCATTGTAAAATGTCATGTCAATTTTGTTCCCATACGGTTTATGTTTGAAATACTGACATTTGAATCAGTTTTACAATTTTTAGGTTTCATCAAGGTAACAACATTTTACCACAGGTATTTTAAAAATTCTACCAGGGTCTGTCTGCACAGTATGGTTGTTATTACCTCACAATGCTACCTGCATAACTGATAGTCTACCTGCAAAACCTTGTAGTTTATTTTGAACAGATTTCTATTGGGAACTTTTATGGGAACTTTTGAAAAAAGCTTCTAAACTAGACAATTTATGGTTTTAAAAAAATATTACAAAGGTAATATAGGTGGCATCCATCGGCAGTGTTTGTGAACAGAGAAATGTTATAGGAAGAAACTAGTAAAGGTGTTTAGATTAAATAATTATTGGGGTTGTCATCTCTCTTTTTTTTTGGTGAAAAATATCCCACAGTGCAAACACAAGCTATTTGCACCTCCATGAGCCCCCATTTTTGTAGTTATCCATGCAGTTGAAGCTCCATTCTATCTCTTCTAAGTAGATGGTTCTGCCCACAGATATCCTATACTAGCTAGTGTTCTAGTTCCTAATTCTAGGGTTTTGCCTACCTGCAGCAATCAGGACGTACCTGCAATGTTGATTGCAATTCTGTAATTTGTCAACTAATAATTTGAGAATCATTGCTGCTGCTTTTGAACTGTTTAATAAGAGCTGTTTTGTAAACCGTTGATGTTTAAATAAATGGTTTTCCTGGTGTCCTGATACCTTTTCTCTTAAGTGATCTGATCGAGTAAATCCAAAGTAAATATGTGAACCTTTCTGAGTTGGTCTAAATTAATATATAATGTAACAATGAGTATATAATAGAATTAATCATTCAGTTAAAATAACACAATTTCAT